CACCAAGTAGTGCACATTTAATTTCCCAACCAGCCGAGATATTTACGAGGGGAAATGCGTTGTCTGGTTCAAATCAGCTTAAAGTTCTGAACTTTAGTCAGATTAGGAAATCAATGTTGCAAATTTAACGCAAGTTTCTTCTCTTGTATTAAAGTGACATAACGTGGCGGCATGGCCGAGTGGTTAACGCAACGGACTTGTAATCTAATGATCGCTGGCCGCATATGTTCAAACCCCTTCTAAATGATCAGATGTTGCAATTGCTGTTTTGGACTTACATGTACATTTTTAAATATTATTTTGGTAAATATCGAGCTATTTGTTTGATAATGTAATCACATTCCTTGTTATTTTAAATCTAATATTTCAATCTGTGGAGAGTTAATATAATTTTAAAAATGTAAGATCAGTTTATGTCACGTTAAAACATTACTGTAATTGTTTCTTGTTCCGACAATTTTCTTATTTGTACATGTATATTTTTATTGATACAATTTTGAACAAGAGCCACCGCCGGGGGTGGCACAACGTTCGACTTTTTACTTTGTCTAATAGCAAACAAACAAACGGTTTAAACAAATACTTAAAAAGAAAATCAAAGAAAAAAAAGATATTCCTTTCTTGATTTTAATAGGTCTGTATAGTCACACTTGTTGATTTGTCTAAGTATGAATCCTTTCCAGAAATAAATGTTAAGAAAATATAATCAAAATTTAATCATTTGGCTGTTAAGGTCATTTAAAGGTCAAGGTCATATCTAAATTATTCCACATGTCTGTTTGGTCACAAATGTTGTTTTACTTACATATGAATCAAATCCTTACATAAATAAAAAAATATGACAACTTCAAAGTTGACGGTCAAAGTCATATAACGCTCAAGGTTAATGTCAGTTCAACTTGTCAAACAGTTAATTATATCAATAATCATTGAAAATAAAATAATTTGACCTTCAAGGTCAAGGTCATACATGAGTCAAGGTCAGTTTGAGATTTGAAATACATGGAGGTCCTGACGTAAAGTTGTTGTGTCTTAATATGAATTAAATTTATTTATAAATAACAAAGTTATAGCCAATTACGAAAAACGGAGAATTTCATTAATTTAAACTTGACTGTCAAGGTCAATTTAGGGTCTAGGTCACATCTTAATTATTCAATATTTTTGTTTGGTAGCAAGTCTTGTTTTGCCCAAGTTTAAATCAAATCGGTACATAAATAAAAAAGTATGAAGATAATCCATTAATTAAATACCAAGTTACAGTCAATTATTGCAAAAATCAGTGAAAATTCAAGAATTCATTTTTCAAGGTCGATCATAAGAGAGCCAAGGTCAATTTGAGTTTGATATTCCTCAAGACTTTACTCTAAACAATATTCTGTTATAATATGAAGTCAATCCATTCAATAATAGCGAAGTTATGGCCAGTTACAGCAAAAAATGAAAATTTCAAATTTTTGACCCTCGAGGTCAGGGTCTTTTAAGACTGAAGGTCAAAGTATGTTTGCTTAACTTAAAGGTCTATCCTAAAAGATTATTATGTTCAAGTTTGAAGACAATCCATTTAAAAGTAACAAAAATATAGCCACTAATTGCAAAAAAAAACACCAAAAAAAAACCAAAAAAAACAAGCAAGGTCATTTATGAATGAAGGTCATAGTTAGTCCGGTCTCCTAAAATATATTGTCGCAAGGGTTGTTGTGGCCAAGTATGTAAATAATAAACCAAGAACTTAAAAAGTTATGATCAAGGTACAAGTTTGCGGTTGGCAACGCCGACATGGCTGTAACAATACCTTTTTTTAAAAAAAAAGTCGAGCTAAAAAGGAGAGGAAACTTAAACAAACAAGATTATGTAATTTTATATGTTTAGATCTATCTTGATACAATTTTAGATAAGGATAATTTTTAGATAAATTGGTTACACAAACAAGATTATACAAGAGATCTCGATATTTACACTGAATAATCTTATATCATGTTTATTAATAGTAAACTCCAAAGAATCAGACAATATTTATACTAATTTAACATTGAAAGTAAATGATAAATTGCTATTTCATTCACACCTTGTGAATAATTTGATAACACACACGCACACGCACGCACGCACGCACGCACACTTTGACCAGTTTATTGGTTTCATTTTGTTTTAATAACCACAAGTGTCTGGAATAACAATGAATTTTGATCTCTGTAGTTGCTTATGTTCTTCAAGAAACGTCTGACACATACACAGTATTTTAATGATCACTGGCAACAGATTTTCAGCTCAGTTTCTGAGGTGGAGCAACAACATGCGGTTGTTTACACTGTAGGCTCCCCCTGTCATTTGCTGGTTCCAGGCAGATAAAGCAGAAATGTTTCTTGCAACTAAAACATTCCATGTTGTTACAAGCATCTACATGTTCAATAGCCTCTTTACAATGTGGGCACGAGCGTATCGAGGGACAGTTATCCACACTACTTATGTTCTTTTTAGGACAATTATGTAACAGGTTCAAAAACTCGTCGTAATTCCTACATGAAATGTTTATACATTTTCCATCACCTTCACCTGGACATGAACCTGAAACATATATACGTCAATAAATAGTTTACTATATGAAATACATGTTGGCATGATTACGCTGGCTATACATAATTGCCATACCTTCCGGTTTCAAAAGTGCTCAGATTGCTCATGCACAAATTATGCACATGCATAGTATATAAATAAAACATACAGTGTATGAAGAGAATGCAATATTAATATGAGGAAAACTAATGAATTAAAGTTAAACAAAATTACAAAGTAAGTGAAATAACTTAATGTTGAATGCCGTTGATATAGGAAATATTTTTACATTCATGCTAAAAATCAGTTATTTTCTCGTAAACAGATTAAGTAAACATGTTCCCTACAGTTAGGTTGTCTGGGTTCCCATTATTTGTAATTTATTTGAAAAAACAAAAAAGAAACAAAAAACGTCTATACGAAAATAGTAAAATACATTCTACATATTTTATCGTTATTTCATAACATTGGTCTTATCGTGTCCACATATTTTATCGTTATTTCACAGTGTTTAACAAGGCAGCTGTATAAGATTTAAATTGCTGTTTGAAATCAACGTTTACACGTATTATTTGAAAATTAATTACAATATATTATAGATTTACAAAATATAAACATATAGATTTGCAAGATTAGTTTAAGGAGAAATACATACACTAATAACATGAGCTATGTCATAATATAAAAGAAAATTCACTTACATGTTTGCTCCATATTTCTATCGTTGTAGACTTAATGAAACTATTATTTGTCAAAAGGAAATTCCCGAAAAACTTTGATGATTAAGTGTGATAAATAGTTAAAAATAGTAGTCGATGGTAACTGTTTTTCGAAAATATGCTTTGATATTTACAGAAAATACACGTAATTTGATTCTTTGTAATCATGTATCGTGGGTGTGATTTCAAGGGTAATATCTATTTCCATTTACGATAAATGCTGATGTAGATATTTTTTTTTTAAAAAAGGTTAATTTATGGAGATATACATGTATTTGTATTGTATATATGCAGCAATATATACATGTATATTGAATGTTTATGGTATTTCTAATAGATTTACGATGTAAATAGTTTGATACATATGTATGGTTAGATATAGAGTAAAATAATGAAAAATGGTAACTCCATTTATGGTAGTGGTTAATAAAAGCTATTATCAATGGCTCTTATATACAGTTTTAACCATATAAGTTAATAACCAAGTTAGACTTTAAACTATAATAAATGTGTAAAAATAGATTATCCAGTAACGGAAACAGCCTGTTGGACTATACACTAATTTATAGGAGTTCTTTCCCTTAGTTTAAAATTTGAGACATAATTTAAACAAAATTTTGCACATATAGTAACAAATACGAACTTGAAATCAAGTACGTTTGATGCTTTTGGAAATGACACAAAAAAGCTAAAACTCACTCAAAAAGTAGAATTGGGACCACAATTCTTTTTCATAAATTTGTTTCAATTATGGTTTTGTTTAAGTCAAAAACAGAATTAAAACAAATTTATGAAAAAAGAATTGGGTAATCATTCTACGTTTTGAATAATAATGCAAAGTTTAAGAAGTTTATTTTTTTCCTTTTTATGCATCTGTAAATAAATATATTATGTGTGATTATCAGCGGGTGACTGTCTTTTAAACATTAACAACTCGGCAAGAGTTTACAAGCTATAGCAAACGAAAAGTAATGAATAAGTCACGTAAGTGATTATGTCAGCTATAACATGACGACGTCAGTTTTAACACGCAAAAAGCGACGACGTTACCTACAACATGCAGGACACGATTTCGTTAGGTGGAAGTGATGACGTTACCTATTAAACACGGGAGGTGACAACAAACAGGAAGACGACTGTTTAAAACTAATCAAAAATTTGAACGTTTAATTGAAAGAAAATATTTTAATTTACCGCTGTAAATAAAGTAGAGCAATTATATAATCTTTGTGATAACTTTATGTGTAATGTTTGGTCAGGCTGTTTTTACAGATAAAATGTATAACGAAAGTATCAAATCTACCTGACATCAGCATCACAAAGTTCAATACCCGATTACTCATGCAGTAAATAGCTGAGTGAAATATAAGTGAAGGCCATAAATTATCTAGTTACATTTGTTGACCTCGTAGTAAAAATAGTGTGGGATTGTTTAGTTATCTAAATTGATAAATTAATCTCAACAACACAAATCTATCAGTGTTTTATCTTGAATTAGGCTGTTCCATTAGAGGAGATGCTGTTCCATCAGGGGGGGACGGGAAATTATAAGTTTGTATAGAGTATCACAAAATATAATATTTTGTTCTTAAATACCTGCAGAATAAAAAAGAATGAAATTGCAGATTAAACACAAGCGCAAAATATAGGACAATACTAAACCTCTTAATTAACGTCAACATACGTATAAAACTGACAAATATTAAAAACAACAACAACAAAACATCCAATAAATAAAATGTTTTATTGACATTTTCAATCCAATATTACTATATTCAATCAATATTGATAGATTAAAGTTTCTAATACATGTAATTATTTTAAAAAGACTATTTGTAGCATAAGGTAACATAAACTGATATCTTATTACGCGTGTTTAACAATATGTACTTTAGATATGAAAAAATATCGTTAAATACAGGAGAGAATAAAGCATTTATGACAAATTTATTCATTGAAAACTTTAATAGATATTGAACAATATAAATATATATTTAAGTTACTGCTGACATTTTACAATATGTTTAAATTTGCAATACAAGTTTAGACTGATCTCTAGAAATCACATTCTGCACACCTTACGATTTATAGCAAAATAAAGTATTGAAATCAATGTCCGTAATGAATTTAAACTAAACTTTTTGCATAGTTGATCAAGCACTTGATGATATATGGAGGATCGAATTTTATTGTCTCTTTTCATGAACTGTCGACTTCTTGGCAATATAACTGGTATAGAAAAAGTTCATAAACAGTAACAGATATGTGGAATACATGGTAAGACTGTATTTAATGTTAGTAAAACTTGTAACACAGTCTCGACCTGCTGACAGCACACTGTACGAAACTAAAATCACAAAAATGCCGAACATCATTTGACAAAGTTGTAGACATGTTATAAACATACTGATCCATTTTGGTAGACGGAACTTCAAAGCTCGTAGAGTATAATATGTATACATGAAGGAATGAACGGTAAAATTCATCACCTCGTAATATCTGCCAGTTCCTATCTTGTCAATATAACTATACCATACATATATTAGCACAGTTATATGATGATACCAATGTAGAAATATCAACGGTTGTTTCCTTAAAACAATAAAAACTGTGTCTCCTAATTCGACAACTTTCGATAGCACAAAAAGCATAGTCCAAAATGCGGAAACTTTCCCGTGATCGAGGTATGAGCCACTGCAGCAAGAATACTCGAACCCGTGATGTGACAACGCCCATATTAGTTCTGGTAGTGTACGAATAGCACCTAGAATACTGAACACTGCTAACGTTCCACTCCAAGCCACCAGGAGCGGTCTAAGTTCGAACTTTTCTTTGCTCGCCATAACATAGCGGGCACTAAAGATGAAGACGAGATAAACTGCCGAATATATGAAACAATCTTTCCAGTTTCTTCGCATGTAGTCATCAAACTTTTCAACTTGGAATTTTTTTTCAAACTCAAAAATGTATGTTAAATTAGCAGGATCTTTATTTGATACATCCATAGTGGTTTATAGCAATGTTTTAACTTAAAAGTAAGGGAGTCCTTCCAGTAAATGTTGGTTGTGTCTCGGGTGTTTGACAGTTAAATCACAGCTATCATGCGTTCTCCTTTATGTGTCAATGTCATATTTAACGTCATAGTGGACCATGTACTTCGGAATAATGTCATCGGTAAAATCAGGCCCCCACAACCCCTTCTGATCACGCTATCTTTACCTGCAATAATAAATATCTGGACATTATTCGTTAGTTTTAATGAATGAATAAATATTCAATATACGTTTACAGTTAAGAAATTAAAATAAATATTGTGGTTGTTAAATTGTATCATACGATATTTAAAGTTTGTGTTAGTTTTGTAGGTACTGGTATAAGTATATCAAACAAGTTTAAACACATCATTAGTAATCATGACGCAAATCATTAATTAGACCGTATCAAATGTTTAATTAGTGCAACGCTTCAAAATACACCACGTGCAATGTATAGGCACTCTTTTGGTGCTCATTCCAATTGGTTTAATATTGATAAAAGCTTAAATACATGTAGTTAAATATAAAACACGTGTTACCTTTTCCAATTAAAGTGCTATTCCCTTTGTAATCACAAATACAAATTTACGTTAAAACAAAATTAGCTTTACTTTTTACTTAGTTCTCCAATATACAGTATTACTTTTTCCACTATGCAAATTATTAAGGGTACATGTAGAAAGAAGCGTTTTATATCATATAAACCTACGATCAGTTACCTGTGAAAGTATCGTGTTTCAACAAACATTTATTCGTTGCCGTGGCGTGATTCGTCTTTTGAAAAGTGCTTGTACTATTTTATGACCCTATTCATGTGTATTAACTCTTCAAATAGTAAAACAGTGCAATGGCGCACTTTCAATTAATTTTAAATTTAAACGGGAAATGATATCAATGATTACAGATGATGATTATAGAAGATGTATTTAACTTTACGGATATAGAATAACGACACGGAAACTATTTAAATGACGAAAGATTTTTACAAAGTACATTATTTATACATGACTGACTTGTAGTTATGAATAACAAGAGGTGTATTGTGTTATATGCGTTATACGAGAAGGAACGCTCGACTAATTCCATCATTAATAAAAGGGGAATAGAAATATGTTTGTATAATGACAAACTGTAAATTCTAATACAAATTAAAATTGTTTTCTTTAAAGCGAGGCAATTTTTGAATATCTTATATTTGTTTAACTTGTCAATGACATTGACCGACTATCATATAAAATTGGGTCGTAGAAAAATAACCCACTTACTCACTTACAATCAATTGAAATATAATAATGTATTGTAATACAATAAAGTAACAACAACATCTTCATTTGATACAAGACATCATAACACAGAACTGGTTACTTACTTCGGTAAAACATTTAATTATAAATTGAGCCGCGTCACGACAAAACCAACATAGTGCGTTTGCGACCAGCATAGATCCAGACCAGCCTGCGCATCCGTGCAGTCTGATCAGGATCCACGCTTTTCGCTTACCAACCCTATTGCAAGAAGAGATACTGATAGCGAACAGTATGAATCCTGATCAGACTGCGCGGATGCGGATGGTCGCAAACCCATTATGTTGGTTTTGTCATGACGCGGCTCAATTTTTGTTGTTCTAATATTTGAAGTTTGAACCAGACTGTTAGAAACTGATAGACCAACAAATAAATAATAACGACCGATATTCAAATACTTATATAATTATTAGCTAATGTTTACTTCAGTAACCTACATCTTCATTTGTCAATGTAATAATAATGTAATAATGATGTAATAATGATGTAATAATGATGTAATAATACTGATTCCTTGAGATAACAATTCAGTCATAAAGATAGGATATCACGACAACTTATTTTTGTAATTTTATTTTCACACCGTACAATCAAATGGGCAGACAGCAGTTCAAACGTCGACAGCTGTACCAGTATATACATGTCGGCGCACGAAACACAGTTGCGGACGGACGGTAAGTATTCATCTATTTTTAACATATCCCAACTTCATTCGAGTAAATCAATGTCATGTATTCATAGTCAACATCCAAAGGAGCGTACTAACAAATTTCTGGCCCTGATCAAGGTTTACTTCACGTGAATTTTGACTGAAAATAACCAAACTATCCGATGAGATGCGGCATTTTTATTTTTAAGGCACAAAAACTTATATTTTCTCATGATATCATACGATTCGTAAACGTCAACATTTCGTCATTAAATATTCCAAACCATATCTTCACATACATAATGTTTTTTTTCTGTTAAAGTTATAGGGTATTTAAGTTGGAGTGACATCAAAATTTTAGTAATGTCATCAGTCGTTCGCCTCATTTTAATGATAACATCGACAGCCATTCATCGGCAAGAATGAATAACGCTGAAAGCCGTTCAAGGAAACAATTTTCAGCGCTTTTGTGCTACAGTAACTAGGAAAGAGTAAAACTGTTTTGTTTATTTAAAACATTTATTTATCATGATACTTTCTAAGAGACTTCATGCTTACGAAATCCATCTACTAATAAATAATTTCTATATTTTACACCATGATAAATGAATTATTTTACAGGATGTAAATTAATTTAAAGTATGATTATTAGTTAGCTAGTTAGTTAGTTAGTTAGTTAGTTAGTTAGTTAGTTAGCTAGCTAGCTAGCTAGCTAGCTAGTTAGTTAGTTAGTTAGTTAGTTAGTTAGTTAGTTAACTACTAAGTACGTAAGTAAATAAGTTGGTTAGTTAAGTTAGTTAGTTAGTTAGTTAGTTAGTTAGTTAGTTAGTTAGTTAGTTAGTTAGTTAGTTAGTGTGTTCCTAAGTTCTCTTTACGGAGTCAAATACCTGAATAATTTTATGTTCGTTCTCTTTTGTACCATAGTCTGAATATGTATATTCTATAAAATGGAACCACTCTTCGAGAATGCAAACATGGCTCCGCATTATTTATACGTTCACTTTCATTTCTCGGGTTACACAGCCATTCACTGCATGGGACATGTCCACTATATGCCATTATTTATAATTACACTTGATGGGTGCCTTCATTTATAATACTGAAAATTCGTATTAAGCGTTAAATTTGCCTTTACCTTATTTGAATTAAACATTTCAGAAACACATTTATAGATCTTGCTACCTTTTTTATATTGAAATACAGTGGGGTAAATGTAGATAAAGGTCTCTCAGCTAAGATACAACAAATAATAGCCCGTCAAGAGAATTTAGGAACACACTAATTAACTAATCAACTAACTTATTAACTAATAAGTAAAGTTGAATCAAAACTCATTGTTTTTGAAATTGTTTTGTTAATAGTTTTTAAACTCATACCGTGGTATTACACAACAGTACTATATGTCGCAGTCCAAAAGATAAGGATGTCTAATGGACGCTGTGGGTTAAGATACTTGGGACCTTTAAAAAGGGTCTGTAAATACACAAAGTATGCGCTTTCAAATAATTTTATTAGACTTCAAGAATCGCGGCTCTCGCCATCAAAATCTTTCAAAATAGTGCGCATGCGTGGTGTAGTTAATCAATGAAGTAGGAAGTAAGATACAGAGGCCCGTAATGGTGGTTAGTATTTGATTTATATGGTGATGAATGAAACGCATGATGAAAATTTAAGCTATAGGACATTTAATAGGACAAACAATAACACATATAAACATTCCGTATATGAACCTGTGACATCCTTCCCCTCACAGGAAAAATGTCGTCCACACAACTGCTTACTAAGCAGCTGTACTACTTCAGAAGTACTATAGAAACTATACCTGTCGCAAAAACTACTTAAATAACTACATTAATATGTAACTGGTAATAAAACTACAGTGACCAATAGTAAATGAAACACCTTGCTTTTTAAATTTGACTTTTAACGTCTTATCTGTGATATGCAGGCTTCATAACCTCTGATCCTCTTTCAAAATTCCATTCTATTTCGTTCCGCCCATTGTTTTCTCGTTAAGGGCACACGCATTTTTTTACTTGGGGACCATATGCCGCTTTTCATGGAATGGCACTCACGTGTCATATTGAAGGTTCCATGATAACCGCCATATGAACACATCTGCGGATGTTTCAAAATTCAAAATTGTACCAGTTCATGTCAAATGTTGAATTCAGCTTAAGCCGGTGCTAGGGGGCGTGGACGGTAGTTTGCACTTGACAGTACCGTCCATGAACAGGCTAAACCAATCCGAGCCTGCAACATTTTCAATTTTGCCGTGTTGGGCTTTCTTTAGGAATTCTTATTTTCTCTATTTCATCGCCATATCAGCGTTGTTTGTGCCGTGAAGAGGCTGTAAAAAGTCGCCCCGTACATTCAATCAGAGATGTTATATTTCCGATCCTTAAAGATCGTTCAGCACGACATTATTGTTTTGCTTGTGGTAATTTAGTTTTTTTCTATTCGGCTATTTTCTTGTTGGGTGATTCCAATATTCCTCACTTGAATACTGTTGAATCACCCTAAGGATATGTGGCCTGCTTTTTAAATTTGTCTTTTGACGTCTTATCTGTGATATGCAGGCTTCATAACCTCTGATCCCCTTTCAAAATTCCATTTTATTTCGTTCCGCCCATTGTTTTCTCGTTTAGGGCATACGCAATTTTTTAATTGGGGACCATATGCCGCTTTTCATGGAATGGCACTCACGTGTCATATTGAAGGTTCCATGATAACCGCCATATGAACACATCTGCGGATGTTTCAAAATTGTACCAGTTCATGTTAAATGTTTAATTCTGCTTAAGTCGGTGCTAGGGGGCGTGGACGGTAGTTTGCACTTGACAGTACCGTCCATGAACAGGCTCAATCAAACCGAGCCTGCAACATTTTCAATTTTGCCGTGTTGGGCTTTCTTTAGGGATTATTATTTTCTCTATTTTAGGTGCACTAGTGGCAGCTGGTGTAGAAATATGCACAGATTAAGGGGTAGTTATATCCTGTTCAATCTGCCTAAGTTCTCTACGAAGAAAATTAAAATCTTGGATGGACTCAAACTTGTAACGTGAAACATTACAAAGTTCATTATTCCGAAGCCCTAACCAAAGACGATTGCGAAGCATGTCGTTCTTGGCATATTTATCTAAATAAAGATTGGCATTGGTAAGAATCTGCTCTAATCGAAGGCTATATTCAGGAACGGACCCATCAGGTTCCTGTCTGGCACAAGAAAAT